GCCATTCGCTCTTTTCCTGTGGCAATCCGAATAATCCGAATGTCCATAGTTCAAAAATAAGAAAAACAAAATGCTGGATCTTGTAGTGGCTGGTCACGGAATTCACGGAATGCCAGGAGAAAACAAGGTAAGATCCAAGTGCAGTTTATTAAAGTATAAATAAACAGAACAGAACAAAAACGTGGCAAAAGGTAATCCAAAACACAGGGAACAGATAACACGGTCTAAACTTAAACAACATCAAACATCAGATAACAAATACAATACTGCAGCAACGACAGACAGAGTGAGCATGGTATATATAGATGGGATGATGAGTAAATGACTAACAGGTGATCATGATCTGAAATGACTAACAGGTGATGATCAGAACAGAAATGACAGGCAAGGGACTATGGGAAATGGAGTTCAAAACATATAACAGAAACGGAGAGTGGCCAGTCCAGGGCACCACAACCAGACACTGTGACAATGTATCGGTACTTTTACTCCGCTATTTTCCTCCGTTTGTGGTCGTTACATGCTTATTTTAATTTTATTTTTATCCATCAACGTGATTGGATAGAGAGTAATAGGTCTCGTGACTTTCGTCAAATCAAATTGTGCATAGAACACTTTAACCGCCAACTGTTTATCATGGCTGCTGGAAGTGCATTCTTCAAGCATCAATTCAGTCGCATCTTCCTCTAACTTAATATGTTAAGGTAAATTTTGGATTTCTGCTTACTAAATGATTTGCTACTGTATATGCTTGCCTATCTACACGGCCTGAAATTTGGTGTGAGGTTGCGGGTATTGCATACAGTGTTAACTCCCGCAAGTGCCACGTTCGGTAAATTCCCACTCACTTATTAGACACGCGATCTGCGCTGCCTCCTCTCTCTCTCGTGTGCATTCTGCAGCAGTCACTTGGATAAGTCGTCGCTGCTTGTTGAACTTGTTGACTTTTGATGAGTTTGAGCGCGTGATGCGCGCTGTGAAAAAGAATTGCGGTGTACAGCGTTTATTATGAGGGGGTAGAATCCACAGCTCAGTACTCACTACTCAATACTCATGAGTACTTTTAAATAGGCTACTCTTTTACTCTTACTCAAGTAGTTTTTTGGACAAGTACTTTTACTCTACTCACACTACATTTTTTGGAAGGTAATGGTACTTTTACTTGAGTATATTTTTTCAGTACTCTTTCCACCACTGGTGTCACAACACCACTTCAAAGTGACTTTACAATGTCCACGTTTTTAGTTGCTGTTACAACCCACCATAGTGTTACAAGAACTTAACATTAACAAGCTTACTTAACATTAATTAAGTTACAGGAATGCTATAGACAGTGCAAAAGAAAAAAGTATTACAGAGTTTGAAATAATGTTACACTCGTTAAGTTCTGAAATTCATACATTGTCTCGGTTTGTTAGGCTCAGTTTAAAGTCTGGTTTTGGCCTGCTATTATAAATGTAGCCTACATTATGCAGCACCAGTCAGTTTGACAAGCGAGCAGGTAGGAGGTAAGTCGTCCAGTCAGCGTCTGCGGCTGTGAATAAATCAATGTTTTTATTCAGTGTTGTTTAAGATATCTGTGAACACCTGTGGCTGTGAGACATCCAGTAGGCATATGTATGTAAACAAGAACATCCGCATGTGCGAATAGCACTGACGCCCCGCCTCGTACAGTCAAGAACAAGGGGGAGGAGCCTCGGGTACATAAACAAGTCCAGACTGTACACCGACAGGAGTGACTGCGACACAATAAAGATAAAACAGAAGCATTCAAGCTGCAAGAATACTTTTCTGACAGCTAATAAGGTGGGCAAACCTTAAACGTTGTTATAACGCTTTTACCGCATCTTTCTGAAATGTCAAATTTCTTTGCAGTTTAAGCTAACCTGTTAATGTGTTTTGTTTTCTCGAGAAAACTGCACTGATATGTACAGTTAAATTAAACTGATTGTTTTGTAATTAAACACGTAAATATTTCTAAACACTGTTTTTTATTTTATTAAAATGCGCCACTGAAACTTTCTGAAGGACAATATAGACAAAAGCAAAAGCAGTTTGTCTGTTTTTTTGTTTTGTTTTTTCATTAATGTCGTTAGTTTCTTCGATAATCCGCCTATTTGATTATTCTCATGTTTATGGTAGAGTTATTTCAGTATATGAAGCAGCGCTTGACTGTAAACAAGTCTAGATGCTTTACATGGTCAGGGCTACAGCTGATCACTTCTTCCTGTCTCACTTCACTGACGTGTATTGGGGATAATTTTAGGGTATTATTAATAAACATAACAGTGTTTAGTTTTTGACTGATGATAAAAAAAAGACCAAGAAACATCGTAAACTCGTGTAAAAATAGGCATACTAAAAAATTACAGTAAATGAACAGGCATTTCAAATAAACATTAATTATATTCTAAAGGGTCCTACAAAGTGCTATAAACAATTAGGCATTTGTGAAATGTCATGCTGGTTTAAGTCATCTGGTGTGTACAAATAAGTTATCTTTGTAAGCTGGATGCTATTCAAACCTGTAAAAAATGTTTTGTGTCTGTACACTGGGCTCATAGAATCAAGTTTGCAAAATAACTCCTAGTTTTTGCCTTTAGCAGAGCAGGATGACATGCCTGCACATATCTGATCCTGTACATGAGTATTGATGATCTGATTCTGATTCATACATGAATTTAGTCTATAATCAAGCTAAATTTAGAAAGGAATTCCAGACGATGTTAAAAATAAGCCATCTGTGGAAGAGAACACCATGTCTCAGTTCAACCAGCTGATACGTGCCAAGTGCATTAGTTGTACCAGGCCAGCAGAACATAACCTTACATTTAATATTACGTAAAGCTCTCTACGGTGTCTGATGTGACACCTGGAACTCTTTGCACGTTACTTTCCATCATCAAGTTCCAACCAACAGAAGGAAAGACACTTGCATGCAAAATATGCTCATTTCAATATCTTACTGCAAGGAAAATATTGCATTGGGGGTCGATTCCACTAGAGGGCAACATAACTCTTCATTGATAAATATTTTTTTAACAGATAGCAGTCTTACAAAACCATCACAGAAAATGATCAGTAGAATCCTTGCACAGCTGGTGGGAAGAGAAGAGAAAGACAGCGATGTTGCAGAAGAAACTGATAACTGTGCAAACCTCCTCGAGTTTGATGATGGAGAGTGGGTTATTATAAAGATACACGGTGAGTTATTTTGATTATACTTTTCAATTATTGATAAAAGGTGACTGATTTTTACAGTACAGTAATTCTAGGGTTTATTGATGTAAATAGTAATCACATCAGAGCAGGCTTAGAGTGTCATTACTTTCATTTCTAGCCTGTGTATTTTATAGTGGATATACAAGGGAAACAACCTTCATTATTTTGTCTGAATGTATCCTAGTGTGGTTTTATTGCATACAATTGTTTATCTTTACAGTCTAAAACGTAAAACTAGTCATCGTCCTTGTGGCAAACACACCTGTGTGACAACTAGTCCCAGTATCCCTCATATTGTATAGCTTACTCACTCAAGTAATGCTGTTGAATTGAAGCCATTTATGCATCCTGTGCAGAGAATCAGTCACTTGGTTCCACTGACACAAACATTCTTGAGAACCTGTTGATCGAGCACCCCAGCATGTCTGTATACCAAATGAGGCGTGATCAGGAAGACCCTGGCTCAGATGAAGAAACAGGGGACATGGCTAGGTACATTTAACGACAATTACAACTTTTTAGCGAGTATCATTTCTAGTGCTAATATTCATTATTTAAATAACTTAAAATGACATGTTTATACACCATATTGTTCAAATGTTTGGGGGTCAGTAAGATTTTTTGTAATGGTTTTGAAAGATGTCTCATGCTCAACAAGGCTGCAACTGATTAACAATACAATAAATACAACAATTTTGTGAAATATTAGTTAAAAATAACAGTCTCATTTGAACATAAAATGTCATTTATTCCTGGCAAAATATATTTATGATATTTTTAGCAGCATTACTTCAGTCTTCATTGTCTTATTCTAATATGCTGATTTGGAAATATTTCTTATTATTCATTTTGAAAAAGGACACCACTGTTTTTAAGGACTTATACACCTGGCTGATGGGCTCCATTAGATATTAGAAGCAGATTAACCTCTAAATTAGCAGATTAACCTCTGAATGGGACTGAACACTGAGAGCGTATCACAAAAGTACATTAGTGTTAAAGCTGTACAGCTTTGCTCACCTGGGTGGCATTTGTTTGATAAATAATACAGTAAAAACAGTAATACTGTGAAATGATGCCCAATTTAAAATAACAGTTTTCTATTTTAATATATGTTAGTTATTAATTCCTGTGGTGGCAAAGCTAAATTTTCAGCAGCTATTACACCAGTCTTCTGTGTCACATGATCCTCTAGAATTTTATTTTCTATTATCTATTCTATTCTATTTTTGGCAGCAGGAAGATTGCCACATATAAATGACTTTGACATATTCCTCCTATATTGACCACTTTAAATCCATATTGCTCGCCGTTGACTGTTTTACTAAAGCCGCCCGCTGGCGGTGAGCCCGGGTGCGAGGGCCCGTTCATCGCTGCTTGCAGCTTTAATTCAATTTGTTTTTCTGTAAGATAAACTGATCATGATAATATACCTTGACGAATGATGTTTGCATCAGTAAATTTATAATTAGCAATAGTTTTTATTAAGATTTTATTTTGTGAGATGTTAGGAAGCTGCAGACAAATGTCAGGATGACATATGAGATGTTGGGTTGCACTGTGGCAGATCAAAGTTGCCTAATTCAAACACGCACAACATACAAGGATGGCCACAGTGTGGCCTAATACATCAAATACAACAGTTATACTACAGTTCAAAAATGTGAGGTAAAAAACCTCAACCTCTTTTTTCCTCAAAGATACATTACAATACATGTTACTAAAGATTTCTGTTCAAAATAAGTGTTGTTCTTTTGAACTTCGTATTCATTTGTTTTCAACATTGATAATAAGAAAAAATGTTTCTTGAGCACCAAATCAGTATATTAGAAGCATTTCTGAAAGCTCATGTGACACTGAAGAATGGAGTAATGACTGCTGAAAATGCACCTTTGCCATTAAAGAAAAAAAGCATTTTAATATATATTAAAATAGAACAAAAGATATTTTAAATTGTAATAATATTGCATAATATTACCGTTTTACTGTATTTTTGATCAAATAAATGCAGCCTAGGTGAGCATAATAGGCGTCTTTCAAAAACTTGCCAACTTTTAAATGCTGTGCATCGAATAGTATTAGAGGACATATTGGATAGCATCACAATTTACTTGATGCAATGAAGATGTAGTATGTAACATAAAAATACACACACCACTTTTACAGTCACATTAAAGTGTATCAAGCCATTAGGCTGCCAGACTCACCCCTCAGTTCCTCTGGATCAGCCTGCGCTCCAGTGGCAGTTCCTGTGACGATGACTCCATCGGAGAGGAAGAACTCAGCTGCTTGGGCCGTCTCAGCTATGCTGACATCTGAAGTTAGGGCATGGGCACTGTAATGACCGTTTTCAAATATAACTCATGTGATCATGTGACACAATAACACAGAAACCAGCACACAGTGCTGTGCCTCTTTTAGAGCTCTGTGGCCAGCCAGCTACACGTAATGTACTCATATCTGATTATACCTGTGCTTTTTCTTGATGTCTGTAAAGATCTGAATATGCTCTGCTCCAATGCTTCTGCGGTAGCGCAGCAGCTCACCAGCACAAGCATTTAACAGGCCTTCATCTGCAACATGTGAGAACACAAACCCCTCTGCACGGATGAAATCCAGCCCTGTGGAGAAGTTAATATTCATTAAATATCATGTCAGAGAATACTTGGGTTTGAAATGGCATTCGTGATGGTTTGTACAGTCATGCGAACACCTGAGGCCAGGGCAACAGCCAATGCTGATTGGTTTGCAGCTGAGAGAATCTGAACACCAAGCGGCCAAGATGGATACAGGCCCCTGACTGCTGCACACATAGCTGTCATGGATGCACACACTTCTGGACCCACCTCAAGGGTGTATGGAATATCATGCATGTTTTCAATGATCAGCCCATCCTGTCATAGACAGAATTGTCTGAAATTAGCAATCAAACTTTGAGCACACTGGCCAGAAACACAAATGACAAAGGTAAAATCTATTGTCTAATATATACAAGACTGTTTTGGTGTAATTTCGTTCAGTCACATTTGAAATAACATGGAAAAATATGTCCTAAAGAACGCTAGGTATGAGCCTTGCAGGCACCCGTACTGGCTAGAAGCGACGAGTAGTCAGTCAGTCCAAAGACTTTTCTGACTCGTTTCCACCAAACGGTTCTTTTGAACAGCTAGTTTCAAAGAACCGGTTGAAAAGTTCTTACTAAAACTTTCCAACAAAGCCATCTGCCATTTTCGATATTACATTAATAAAGTTGTTTATTGCAATTTCATGTTCAGTCCTAGTTCATGTTTACACCAAGAATGACAACTATACAGATGTTTACACCAACGAAAGATAATGTTCGGTTTATATAGGCGCGCGTTATTGCTAAGGTTCTTTAAAGTGGATCGCTTGTGATTGACTGTCAATATTTTATCCTTCATCAGTTGAAAGAAAAGAGGAAAGTGATTCCATTCCAACGATATCGTTCCTCTAGTGTCGTTATCGTTATATAGTAGTTTGGACTTATCATATTCTCAAAAGAATGATTATTAAAATTGTATAATTAATAACTAATAACTGTCATGATTATGCATTTTAAGTAACTTTTTACACCATCAGTCCAATCCTAGATTCACTATCGAATGCTCGGAATGTGGAAGATGCTTCTCGGTTCAATGAGTCAGATGACTCGAGAACCGCTCGGACAGAATTTCACCGGTTCATGAATCGTTTAAACCGATGCCAAGATCCGACGCCGGTTATTCATTGAAAAGATTCAAATGATTCGTTCACGAACCAAGCACCGCTAATTCTTAGCTATTAATAAACTTCAGAATGTGAGAACGCGCGATATGATTATAATTCTATGATGATGTATACGTTACATTTCACTTATATTGAACACATACAAGTCCTGCGTGGTGGTAAATTTCCGCCTCTCGACATGCCTCCTCTGTGATCTCAGAGATAGTTGCGCGGTTCAAGGGGGTTCCTGCAAAATAAATAAATTAAAAGTTCAGTATTTCTTCTCTTTTAAGTTTGTACTGGTGACATAAATGCGTTAATTACCTGGCAAGGCTCCGACGTGAATCATGCCTATGACATTTGATTTTAAGCGCCCGAAAAGATTGAAAAACTTCATTTCTTCAGTGAACAAAACCCAGATTTGTGTGTTTTGATGGTCATGTGACTGGTCAAAGGTTATATTAGTGATAGAAAGTGCGGATCTAATGACAACACCCAAGCTACATGTATTAAATCCTCTACACGAGCACGTAAAAAATACACATTTGATAATATATTTAAAATGCTGCTGTATATTGTAGTATATAGTGTATTTCTAAGGGGGAGCCAGTCAATATAGTGAAACTGATTTGCCTGCGAAACCCAATAGCAGCAACTGGACCAGAAAAATGCACTTTATTACCGTGACAACACTTGACATCTCAAACGGTCAACCCAGCACAGCCAAAACATTGCATTTTATATGTCACTAACATAATAGCGTGATAAAATCCAACTATTTAGCCCAAACACTCGGATTGTTTACTTCTTGAGCCTGCTAGCCATGTGCTCAACGTACTTCCGCTACCTCAGACCGCCCCCCCAAGTGACGTCACCAAACACACGCCTCATTTTGCCGGCAAAATGTTCACGTTTCTAAACTTTGTTTTATTGACATAAAATATTTGAAGTATAACGTCGGGATTTCGCGTGCCCGCTCCGTGCTGGTGTCAATCCCCCAGCGGCACCGATCGCAGGGCTTCGCTGCCGTTATAGCAGAGCGGGGATTTTAAATGACCCGCGTTGACGGCCCCTTTTAACGACTGCTGGCGGGTTATAAGACAAGGCGCAAAATTACTGGCGCCAGCTCAGAGCGAGCGGACTGCGGAACACATCACAGTTTAGCCATATGTTGCCTGCTTACAGATTATTGGAGCGGTTTTACTAAATAATGCCTTTTGTAACACAATCTTAACTTTTGCATTCGAGGACATCCGTGCAGAGAAGGCATTTTCAGAGAGCATCACAATAAGGTATGTGCATTGCACAATCGTGGGGTTATTGTTAAAGATCGGTAAAAGTAACATTGAACTAGTAATGCATTGAAAGGGTTTGGGGAAGCAAATTTGGGAATATCGGATTGCAGAGTCAGTTTCTTATTTTAAGCTGCTCAGAGAGCGGGTTCAATAAATGTGGTCACAGTTTAGCCATATGTTGCCTGCTTACAGATTATTGGAGCGGTTTTACTAAATAATGCCTTTTGTAACACAATCTTAACTTTTGCATTCGAGGACATCCGTGCAGAGAAGGCATTTTCAGAGAGCATCACAATAAGGTATGTGCATTGCACAATCGTGGGGTTATTGTTAAAGATCGGTAAAAGTAACATTGAACTAGTAAGATGCATTGAAAGGGTTTGGGGAAGCAAATTTGGGAATATCGGATTGCAGAGTCAGTTTCTTATTTTAAACTGCTCAGAGAGCGGGTTCAATAAATGTGGAATAAAGATTGGCTCGGCCATTTTCTGACTCCCATGGGTAGAGCAAAGCAAACGTGTAGTTTTAATACAAGCGATAGAAATATGGGCATGCACTGGAGTTGCTTTGAAAATATAGACTGTGAAGTGCATATATCAGGGGTTTTGAAGTGATTAGTTGTGTTTTTCGTGTAGTTTTGACCTCTTGAACATTGTGCCCAGCTCTACTTCCCCGCGCCCAAAGCGCTTTGTGAAGATTTACATGAGGGGGGTTGGGATTAAACGCCACAAATCGGACATTTTTATAAAATAACATTTTTATATTTTAGGCTCTCGACACTCAAGAAGTGTCACACGCGGGGATATCATGCCAAGCAAGAAAGTGTAAGTTTCGGTTTCGTGTCTTTTTAAGGCGGTTTTGACCATCAGTGTGCATGGAAAAGTTGCAGCAGCGAGTTAGCACAGTTAGTGTCTTCCACGGAGTTTCAGGCCAATGTGGAAATGTAACAATATAATTTTTTCGATGCAGGCTACGAACAGAGCAGGTTAACACTACAGATGAAGCTCCTACAACTATTTCAGTGCGTCCCAGGAAGAGAAAAGCAGACGTGGCTGTTGTAAGGACACCGTTCTTAAACTAATACTTGCATACTAAAAACTCTGAAAGATTAAGTCTCTGACTGTTTTGTTTTTGAATTTACAGCATTTACAAGATCCAGATGAAGAGATCACGGAGATGACAAGAAAGAAACCATGTGCTTCCCAGGTATAAATGAGTCATGACTGGTGTGTGTGGGTGTCCATAGGCCTCACCAGTCATGGCATATCAGTGACCTTAAACTTATTTCACTTTTATGTTAGTCTCTTCTGTAGATTGCAATGTGATGTATAATGAGACCTGTGTCTAAAATGTACTGAAATTAATTCAATATTGTTCGTGATAAATGTATACGTAGATTTTGAACCTAATATCAAGGCCATAACAATGTTTTGGACAATGTTTTTTTGGATGGAGCGGAGCAGAGTTGTAATGGTCTTTTTATTTAAAGGAATTAAATTAAAGATTCAAATCGTTTTAAGGGAATAAAGGAAGAAAAGAACAAAACTCTTGTCAAGTAATCCATGTTTAGCTACTTGCATCTTACCTTACAATCTTTCACTGTTAAAAACTGAAGTGTCGCACTAGAATTCATGTTTGGTACCTGTAAACAATATCTGCCTGTTTTGATATATTTTTGACAGACTGCTGAGGCAGACCAGTCGAAAAATTTTAATTTAAAACATTTTGTCAACAAAGAGAGCCGCGTCAAGTTTATTAAATGTCTATGCTTGTCACAGTCCTGCATAACAAAGTTATCATCAACCACCTTTTTATCGTGAGTGGTTTGGGTTAATATCACGGCTTGAATTTACATAGCAAGCTGTTTTTGTGTCATGGAAGGTCCTTTTCAAATTGCCTTTGAAGCCTGTCCTAGTTGCAGAGGGCGGGCTGTTGTATTTGTTTATATCCTTTTCCTTTTTTTTTTTTTTTTTTTTTTTTTCATTCTTCTCTCCTCTTGTCCTCCTGCACAGGCCTGCTGGAATCCCGACACCGGTTACACAAGCCCATGCAGGCGGATCCCCACACCTGATGAAGTCGAGGAACCGGTTGCTGTTGGTAGCGTGGGATTCACGCAGTACGCCTCAGAAAACATTTTCATCACCCCTACGCGCTCTACCCCTCTGCCGGCCCTCTGGTGAGTTATGACTTTTCGAACTTTTAGCTATGTTAGATTGACATGTGTAAATATTTGCCTGTAGAATATATTGTCTGACAAGAATCTTTAATACAGCCTTAATGACTGTCCTGTGATATGCATGGTGTTACATGCAGAAGTTAACATTCAAGCGATTTGTCAACATCAGCATTGATCTTCAGCCCAAACCACTTAGTTTTATTCATTCAGACAATATGTTGCTTTTGGTCTATCATAACAATAGGTGAATCAGTTGTGTTTTGGAACATTAAATGCATTAACTTTCAATATTGTAATTTCACATAGCTGGGCAAGCAAAGATGACGTGTGGAGCAACCTGCTCAGAAAAGACCAACTCTACCTGCGAGATACACATGTTATGGAGAGACATCCAAATCTCCAACCCAAAATGAGAGCGATTATGCTGGATTGGCTAATGGAGGTTTGTAATTGTTGTTTAACCATTCACACGTCTTAATCTAATCTCACTAATGGCGCTTTTCCACTGCGTGATACGACTCGGCTCGGCACGGCTCAGTACGGCACGGTTCGGCTCGGCACGGTTTGCGTTTCCACTGCAGTTCAGTACCGCTTTAGAGTGGGCGGGATTATTCACATGTCGTTATAGTTGCACCGCCTCTTCTACCACGACTCCTAGAAAAACTTTTTCATTCCGCGTCGCCCCATCAAGCTCTCGCTGGATCCGCTCCTCTGCTATCAACATGAGGAACGTCTGTTCTTCCGCAGCAGACAAAACTTTTTGGTTGTTAAAAAAAAAAGGTGCGCTCGTTCAAAACAGTTGCGTTTGATCCTTTGCTGGCTGTGCTGATTTAAATCTAGCGGTTCTTTTGTGTTTGTGTCGCAAGTTCAGTGACGCAGGTAGTGACGATTCTCTCCGGCCAATCCGTGATCAGCAGAGTTTACACGTCACGTTTTGGTAACGGTACGGTTCACTTGGAACCCCAACCGAGGTGGTACTAAAAATAGTACCAGGTACCACGTACTGTACCCAGTGGAAAACCCCCCAAAAGTGAACCATACCGAGCCGTACCATGCAGTGGAAAAGCGCCATAAGAGGGGTGGGGACACCAAAAGTTCCTTCATTCTGGTCTAAACCTCAAGTTGTTTGCAAAACCTGAGAACTTGGGGAACAGCTTTTTCTAAAATTTAAAAGCTAACTACAAGTACAGCCCAAAGTACACTTCACTTTTGATGCAAACACTCCATCCATTTGATGACATGCCTTTATCAATACATGCAGAAAAGAACATTTCATCCTTGTGCAGTGTTGGTTCTGTTCAGGAACTGATTAAAAAATATATATTTGTATGTTTAAACTGCAGTTGTGTGTGTATCTTATGCTGCCTTCACGTGCTATCGGAGTTATCGTAAATACGAGTTTCCTAGTTGGAAGTTGGACATGAACTAGTTGTATTTTCAACTGGGAAACTAGGAGATAATTTTGATTTCTGAGTTTCCGAGTTTGGTATATATCTATATATATATATATATAAGTCCGATCTTTGCGTCACAGATCGGACTTTTTTCGGATAAGCAAGAAAAAAACAATTTTAAAGCACAGAGAATGACAATGCCGTGATGGGTTTTTGACATGGGCTAATTTTATGTGTATGTATACGCAGCTCTGTATTTCCGCGCTGTCTGAAACACGTCTCTATGCTTGTGCGCGCTTCGATTGTGTGCGAGAACAGCGCGTGAGTAACGAATTGAGCTCTTTCGTTTCTTCTTGTGGTTTAAAATTGCTTAAACGTGTAAATTGGCAAATTAATCTGCGAATCACGTACTTCATTGAATAAAAGTGGCAAACAGCACAATAGTTCTGACTAAAATGCATTTTTGCATTCAAAAGTAAAAGCACTTAAAATCTATTCTCTTTTACAACATGAACTGCAGTACAAAGAATATGCTGCATTTTTTTTGTTGTTGTACTGTTACAGCCCTAAATCACATGCACTGAACACATCCTAACAAATGCATAAAGGTTAAAATTTTGTGGAAATGAATGGGTTTGTTTCTTTTCTCAAGAATAGAGAAATGTTGTATGGTGACTCCTGACACTAATTGACATCTGCTGTTTTTTTTCAGGTTTGTGAGGTGTACAAGTTACACCGAGAGACGTTTTACTTGGGTCAGGATTACTTTGATCGCTTCATGGCCACACAAGACAATGTTCTCAAAACAACACTACAGCTTATAGGCATCTCCTGTCTCTTCATCGCTTCCAAAATGGAGGTGTGTTTTACTTGTAGATGCCCTTGTATTTCAGCCTGAACTTTTGAGAAGAATTGTATTATCTTTGCAGTGTAAATTAGCATTTTAAGAACTTGTTTCAAAGTGGAAGTGCTGCATTTGTCTGAATGTTGTAAGCTTGAAATGTAATTAGACTTACGTTTTTTTCCAAAGGAAATTTACCCTCCTAAGGTGCATCAGCTTGCTTACGTTACTGATGGGGCCTGCACAGAGGATGACATTCTTAGCATGGAGATTATCATCATGAAGGTATATTATCTTCATATCATCATTTAATCTCAGTACTGTGCCTAAACCTGCAGCCCTGCTGCTTGATTTATTGGTATCTTCATATCATCATTTAATCTCAGTACTGTGCCTAAACCTGCAGCCCTGCTGCTTGTATGATTTATTGGACTACTTTTTACACCATTTGTTGTTCTTCAGGAGTTGAATTGGAGTTTGAGTCCTTTAACCCCAGTGGCTTGGCTCAACATCTACATGCAGATGGCCTATCTGAAGGAGACTGCTGAAGTTCTCATTGCCCAGTACCCACAGGCTACATT